GGTCCTCAGTCCTGGCTGCTTGGGGGAGCGGAGGCTTGTACATTTGGGTGCACAGGATAAGTGGGCATCACAGCCTCTTGCTCCCAAGCACCTCGGGCGTCTATTTGCGATTCCTCGCGAATAAAGCGATTTTTAAAATACTACAAACCAGAGCCCACGGAGCCTCCGCCTTCTTAGAAGCGGACTGTGTAGGCCTTGCAGCTCTAACCTGGTGAAGCCGGCTTCCGCCAGGAGGTGTTGGGGTGTCTTTTTTTTTATTGATCTCAGAGAGGAAGGGAGAGGGAGGGAGAGAGAAACATCAATGAGGAGAGAGACTCATCGATCGGCTGCAAGCAGGGCCTGTGCCCTGACCGGGAATCGAACCCTGACCTGCTGGTTCATAGGTCGACGCCCCACCCCTGAGCCACGCGGCTGGACGTGGCTGTCTGTATTGCGTCCGTCTCAGGCCGTTTCCTCTTTGCGCTGTGGCTGGAGGGCCCCGAGCAGGGACATCGATCCGGCTGTCCGTCCATCAGACGCATCCGGGCTGCGAGGGCCGCTTTAAGACTTGGCTTTCCTTGGGCACCTTCGCAGCCCCACTCGGAGTCTGTTAAACTCCCGTTTCCTGCCATCACTTTATTTACTTATTATTTTTCTAATCCTCACGAGGTTATTTTTTTTCATTGATCTTTAGAGAGAGTGGGAGGGAGGGAGGAGAGGGGGAGCTAGAGAGAGAAGCGTTGATGTGAGAGACACACATCAACTGGTTGCCTCCTGCACATGCCCGACTGGGACCAGGGGTCGAACCTGCAACCGAGGTCCGAGCCCTTGATCCGGAATCGAGCGTGAGACCCTTTGGTCCGCAGGCTGACGCTCTAACCACTGGGCACACCGGCCAGGGCTTCCTGCCACCGTTTTCCTTTTCCTCGTTAACAGGGACCTTGGCAGGGTCCGTGAGACCAAACATGTTCCGAGAGTCATTGAACTCTATCGACCTGTTTTTATAGCTTGAGGTCCCCGCCCCCCCCCCCCCCCCAGACATAGCTGGCCCACAGGCGGCCTTACCCGCCCTCCCCAGCTGGCTGTGCTGCTCCTCCCTCCGCTCTGTGCAGCCTCCCCCAGAACCGGGGTCTGCTGAGACGCAGGGCGCCCGGCTCCGGCTCCGTGGGAATTCAGACGGCCCGCTTTTCACTGTCTTCCTCCTGCCACCCGTGGGAGATGCGCAGCGTGGAACGGAGCTGCTGTTTATGCCGAACGCGGGCGGACCCGCCCCGTGCTCCCCCCCCCCCCCCGTGCTCCCCGCGTCGTCCGGGGTTAATAAGTAAACACCCCCAGGTGTGTGCGTTTCCCAGGGACCTGCCGATCCAGGAGGCCAGGCCCATGTGAGGTCAGGACCCCGCGCAGGCCTCGGCCTCCTGGGATGGATCTGGAACGAACCGGGGTGCGGACGGCCGCCTCTCCGCCTCTGGCCGCCGCCCGGCTCCTCAGCCCGTCCAGCAGGGCCCCTGCCTCTGAGCTTGGGCAGCAGAGGTGCCACGTGTGACCATCACCCAGCCACTGTGGGCGGTGAGGCGGGGTCCTCGCGCCGGGCCAGCTGCCAGGTGTGGGGTCCGGGGAGCCGGGGCGGCGCAGGGTGCTGCCTCCGGCTGTCAGTTTTGGTTTGAGTTTGATTTTAGCTGAAACAGCCTCAGACCCGCCCACCCTGGTTTCCTACAAAGACCCTCCGGGTTGTACACACCCCCGTTCAGACCCAGGTCCCTGTGTTGTACGCAGCCTGCAAAGTGACCAGGCATAGCCAGGCGCAGCGCTGGCACTCCAGGCGTGCCCTGACGTCCGGCCGTCTAACCCCACCCCAGGGCCGGTCACGGGGCCCTGTGGTGCAGCCCCTGTCGCCCCGGCCCCCAGCCCACCCACTCCTCCGAGATCTGTGGGCTCCGTGTGCTGTGTCTGCTCCGGGCGGCTCTGCATGTGCCCATTTACCAGATGCTGACACTGAGGCCAGTGCTACCCTGAAGCCCAGGGGCTTTCTGGAGCCACACCCCTCCTGTGAGGGAGTGGCCGGGCAGCTGGCGGGGTGCCTCGGCCACTGGCGGTCCCCAGTGCCTCACTAGCGGCCACTCCTGCCCGACCTGGCTTGCCATCGACCCGCCCGCGGGCTCCTCGTTAGCGGTGGCCCTGGCCTGGGAGTGGGACTGCACCATCCTCGCACCCTGTCCGCTTTCTCTCGGCGCCCATTGGGTTTGCAGGCAGCAGAGGGTGAGCAGGGGAGGGAGGAGCCACCTGAACCGGAGCATCAGGGCCCAGCTCCGGTGTCTGCTGGGTGGTCCCTTGGATGTGGCGACACGGCACCTCTCCTGCTGTCCAGAGCGCCAGGACATGACCCCTCACCCCAGGTCATGACCCTGACCCCCAGGACATGGCCCCTTGCCCCCAGGTCATGACCCTCACCCTCAGATCACGACCCTCACCTCCAGTTCATGACCCTGACCCCCAATGCCCTGACCTTCACCCCAGGTCATGACCCCTGCCCCCAGGGAAGGCTGGGTGCACCTCTGTGTCTCTGCCACTGTGAGTCTTTAAAGTTACAGCTGCAGACGGGGCTCGAGGGCACCTGGCGCTGTGGCTGTCATCACAGTCGCCCGGGAGCTTAGCGACAGCCTGGACCGGCCTCCCAGACACTCACTCGGGGTCCCTGGTGCTGGTGTGTTTTCAAAGCTGCGTCCGCTGCCTGCGCCCCCGGGGAGCCGCGCCCCCGCCCCTGGAGCCGGGCCAGGGCGGGAATCGTCATGCAGACAGCACGGCACGGTGCCGGTCACTTATGCTCACGTCACGTGTCACCGTGCCCCGCCTGCCGGTGTGGACCCACACGGCTGTACTGCCTCGCACGGCGGCTCCTGCGCTGTAATTAGGGAGCCACCAGGGCGGGCGCCAGGTGCCGCCACCTGTGATTACCGGGCGCCCACGCCGGCTCCGGGGCCGGGGGGGGGGGGGGGGGGGGAGGGGAGGCCGCACCACCCTGAGCCTGTCGCCCCGGGCGTGCCAGCCCGGCCACCTCGCTCCGATGGACGGACGGACGGACGGATTCCCGCCCCCGACGCGCTCTTCCCTCGCGGTGCCCGCGCTGAGAGTCCGAGGCCTCGGTGATGCAGGGCCTCCCTGCGCTCTGACGGGGACGTGGGCATTGCCCGGGGACTGGAATTTTTATTTCAGAAAGAAAAGCTGCTGTTTGGTCAGTTAACCGGCTGGTGACGCCGGCTGGTCTGCAGGGGCTTGGGGAAGGACGGAAGGATGGACGGTCTGAGCTCTGTCGCCGGGCGGGGGGGTCCTGCCGGTGACAGTGCCGGGCAGGTGGGATCTGGGGACACCTGCGGGGGGAGGGGGGCGGGGCCAGAGGTCGCCGCGGTCCCCACACGGTTTTCCTGTGGAACCTCCAGACGACGAAGCATTGAGCACCCTGGGCGGCCGCACAGAACAGCGGCCCCACCTGGCTGGTCTCCAGGCCCTCGATGCCTCGGGGCGGCGTCTCTGGGGTGGGGGTGGCCCGTGCCTGTGTCGGGAGTCCCTGGGACAGTGGGAGGGGCTGGGAGAGCCCCCGGTGGTGGTGGTGGCCGCAGTGCACACCTGGCCGCTCCGGCCCAGCGCCCCCTCCGCTCCGCAGGCTGCGCAGTGGAGACGCCTGGGATGCTTCCCCCTCCTCGCCCCTCCCCTCCGCCCTCCCTCCCTCCCTTCTCCCAGGAGCTGTTTCCAGCGCAGAGAAAAGGGTACAGGATAATGTAGCTCACACCCCCCCCCCCCCCAGCTTTATCAAAGCCTGACATTTGCAGAGACGGTTTTTAAGGAAATAAAATGTTACAAGTGGTGTTACAGCCTCCTGGGACACGGCCACTCCCCGGGCGGCTCTGTCTCCCCCACACCCCTCCGTCTGTCCCTCCGCCCGCCCCCGGGTGATGTGAGTGCCGTGCCCTCCTCTCCTCAGGAATGTATGTGCGGGGTCCCCGCGTGCAGGGGCCCGCTCCCTCCCAGGCTGTGCTGTTCGTGGGAGAGCGATCCCGCCCGAGCAGGCAGACCCTGGACCACAGGGGCCCACGCCTGCCCCGTCGTCAAGGGGACGCCCCTGTGGCTCGTCCTGTGCGTGTGGCCTTGGCCTCCCGTATCAGAGTCCTTGGAGGAGAGGAGGCACCGTGGCCCGGCCTCCACCCGCTCCCGGCAGCCCTGGTTCTCACCGGCTTTCGTCCCCTCCTTTCTGGACCCCTGCCCAGAGCTGGGGGTCACGGTGTCCTCTGTGCGCCCGCTGAGCCGTGCGGGGCGGAGTCGGCGCCCCCGCGTGGGCCTTTGCGGGGACGTCATTGCCTGGATGGGAAGGAGGCTGTGGCCCCAGCTCCAGGGACTCTCGGGGACCCCGGGGCCCCGCTGGGCAGCCTCAGTCCTGGGCCGGCCCTGCCTGTGGGCTCCAGTTGTGCAGCTTCCTGTCCCTGCTCTGTGCGTGGCTGAGGGTCCACGTGGCGTGAACGTGGCACCACTGCAACCTGAGCCACACTTCCTGCCGCGACAGGGCGAGCATTTCCTCTCCCCTGGAAAGTCCTGGAAAGTTTCAAACTGCCCGGCCCCTGGTTGGTCCCTGCACCCTGGCCAGGACTGCGGCTTGTGAGGGCTCCTTTGTTTATTTTTTAAAATATATTTTTATTGCTTTTAGAGAGGAAGGGAGAGGGGGAGAGAGATAGAGACATCAGTGATGGGAATCATGGACCGGCTGCCTCCTGCACACTCCCCACTGGGATCGAGCCCGCAACCCAGGCACGTGCCCTGACCGGGAATTGAACTGTGACCTCCTGGTTCACAGACGACACACTCAACCACTGGTGCCAGCACTGGGCAGAGCTCGCCCGGTCCCGGGAGGCGTGGGGCGCCCGCTGTCACCCCCTTGGAGACCCTGAGTGCTCACACCGGGCCCTGCAACGCCACAGCGACGAAGGCCCACCTGACACCGGGCGTCTGTCCTTAACATTCCGTCCCCCTCCCAGGCGCCGGGCACCATGCCGCGCAGCCCCACGTCCAGCGAGGACGAGATGGCCCAGAGCGTGTCCGACTACTCCCTGGGCTCCGAGTCGGACAGCTCCAAGGAGGAGACCATCTACGACACCATCCGGGCCACGGCGGGGAAGCCGGGCGGCGCCCGGACGGAGGAGGGCCAGGGCCACACGCTGGTCATCCGCATCCTCATCCAGGACCTGCAGCAGACGGTGAGCCTGTCCCCTCCACACACACCCAGGTCTTCCGCTCCCACCTGCTCCCTGCCTGGCGGGTGGGCCCAGGCTCCGGCAGAGGCAGAGCGTCTCCTCCCAGAGGCAAAAGCGGGGCAGGGGGTCGGCTCCCATCAGAGAAACGCTGCGGCCAGTCCGCTGCGCCACCTGCTGGCCGCGTGGTGCAGATGCCATTCCTTGGCTGTCACCTGCTGGGCGGCAGGTCCCGGCACACGCGTGGGCCTGGTGAGCGGCCAGGTGTGTCCTCTCGCCCCAGGTGCGGCCCTCGCCCTTGCGAGTGACTCTGTCTCTGAGCCTCACACCTCCAGGGCCTGGAGGTAGAACCCTGAGTGAGAGCCGTGGCATCGGCAGGGAGCGGCCGGGCGGGTGGCCTCCGCTCTCTGGACCGGCAGGGCAGCGCGCAGGGCTCCCCGTGGGCGTGCGCTGGCACCGGTGCGCGCACTGGGCCTCCTGAGCAGGCGGCGTGTGCCAGAGCCAATGGGAACCGGTTCCTTGGTGGCTCTGTTTCCGGGGGACGGAGCGAGGGAGGGGGACGGGGCTGCCCCGGCACAGCTGTCCCGTCTCGAATCCACACTGAGCGTCATGTCCCTAGTGCAGCCCAGAGGAAAGCGGGAGACGGTGACACGCTGTCGGGGCTCCTGCGTGTGCACAACTCCGGCCCGTGCCCACCTCCACCCACGAGTGGCACCAGTAGCTCCGTTGCCTCGTGCCCATCCCCACTGCGCGTGCCCATCCCCACTGCGCCCTCCCATCCCCACTGCACCTGCCCATCCCCTGCCCATCCCCACTACGCATGCCCATCGTGCCCATCCCCACTGCACCTGCCCATCCCCACTGCACCTGCCCATCCCCACTGCACGTGCCCATCCCCACTGTGCGCTCCCATCCCCACTGCGCGTGCCCATCGAGTTGGCGCTTTCATTCAGGAGGGAGCACGCAGCTGCTGCCCTGACCTCAGGGGTCATCCAGCCCCTGCCCCCCCCCCAGTCTCTCCCCAAAGCAGCCCCAGGCCCCTGCCTCTCGCGGCCCCGCCCCGTCAGCTGATGAACGCTCCCTAATCCATCACTTGCTTCCGATGGATGTCCCATGGGCTTGTCGTTGATCGAGACGGAGCCCCTGCAGCAAGGCCTCCTTCGGTCCCTAAGCCCTTCTTGGCCGTCTCCTCGCAGACACGGTGGCCACTTGCTTTTGCGTCCGAGGTCCCGGGTTCTGACTGCTGGGGGCCGGCACCTGTCTGGGCGCTGCTTTCTGAGCCATTTCCTCAGGCGGTGGCCGAGGACCAGGCGCGCCCCCCTCCCCCCCCCCGTTGTCCTCTTGGTCTGCAAAGACGCGGAGGGGCCTCCATTGTGGGGGAGGGTTCTAGAAGGCCTGGGCAGGAGAGGTTCCGACCTTGAGGGGAGCGGTTGTGACCTTGACAAGCTCCCGTTGGCACGTTGCTGGGCAGGTGTCTGATTCAGCCCCCCGGCCCCTGGGGGGTAGCGCTCTGTCTCCTTCCAGGAGTCCTGAGTCTGCGGCAGCCCCTCCTTGTAGTCCCAGGCCTGTCCTTGGTCCTGGGGGCATCTGTCCAGAGGGGACGCTGCAGTTGGGGGTGCCTTCTGCCTTGTTCCCTGTGGCATCCCTTCTGCCCCAGGCCTGGCTCCTGCCCCGGGCTCCCTCCTGCCCCAGCTGGTTTCCCCTTCCAGCAGAGTCATCCCCCCCCCAGCCCCCCCCCCCCCCCAGTGAAGCTGGGGAGGCCCGGGCTGCTCTCTGTTCTTCGCACACCCAGCCCTCCTGCCGCATCTGTGCGAAGGGCGTGGGTGTCCTCGCTCACATCTCCAGCTCCCGCCTCCCGCGAGGGCCCAGATCTCATTTCCACCCTAACACCTTCTTGCTCCTGAGAGCTCCCTCCACCACAGCAGATGCCCTGAGCCTCTAACCCGCCTGGCCTGTCCCCCCACCTGTCCCCCCTTCCACCCCCCCCCCCCACTCTCAGCCAGGGGTCACCTTTAAAAAACTGTATCCAGGTCTCATTTATGAGCACAGAACCCGTTCATTTGAAGTCCCTTGTTCAACAATTGTTGGCATTTTGCTGAGTCATGCAGCCTTTGACCCTGGAGAGGGACAGAGGGAGCGTTCAGCCAAAGGGACCTCGTTTCCCGGGGGTGGTGGGGGCAGGGGCGGGGGCTCCTGGCCGCCTGCTGAGCCAAGCTCATTATCTTGGGGATCGGATCCCCTCACCCAGCAGGCGGGGGCCGGCCTGAGCTGGGGGACAATAGCGGGGCTATACCCACACCCCCAGACACGCAGATACCCCCTGTGGGAACTGGTCCCAGCCCCAGGGCCAGTCCAGCCTCATGTGGCTCTGAATGCGTCCTGGGAAGAAGCAGGTCCCCGAGCCCTGCCGGTGGCTGTGTGGGGGAAACAGCTTGACCCGGGGGAGTCCCAGGGAGGGGACGGGGACGCGGCCACCCTGAGTCACTCCCGATCGGGGTGGGGGCGCCGCCCACATGTTGAGCTCTGTGAGGTGTAGCTCTGTGGCCAGTGCTGTGGCTCCCCCCACCTGCCTCGCCGTGTGGTCGGTGGGTGTCGGTGTGGGAAGCTGTGAGCAGTGGGCGTGGATGGACTTCGCCCCGTGAGGGGCCCAGGCAGGACGCCCACCTGAATCTGAGAGCGCCAAGGGCGTGGGCTGTACGAGAAGGCGCCTCCAGGTTGCTCGCGCCGTGGCTCTGCAGGTGTGTTCCCAGACGGCGGCCACGGCCTGCACTTGGGACGTGGGAGACACGCAGGTTGTAGGGCCCTGGCCAGACCTGTGGAGTCAGACAGTCTCCTGGTGGGGAGGGTGGACGGTCTGTGTCCAGCAGGCGCTGGACTCTGAGAGGCCGACAGGAGAGAGGCGCCCAGGGTGGGGGCGGTCATTGATGACCGAAGATTTGAGTCAGTGGTGAGAGTCATTGGTGAAGGGTCATTGGTGAGGGTCATCGGTGAAGGTCATCGGTGAAGGTCATCGGTGAAAGGTCATTGGTGAGGATCATTGGTGAGAGTCATCGGTGAAGGGTCATTGGTGAGGGTCATTGGTGAGAGTCATTGGTGAAGGGTCATTGGTGAGGGTCATTGGTGAAGGTCATCGGTGAAGGTCATCGGTGAAGGGTCATTGGTGAGGGTCATTGGTGAGAGTCATTGGTGAAGGGTCATTGGTGAGGGTCATTGGTGAGAGTCATCGGTGAAGGTCATCGGTGAAGGGTCATTGGTGAGGGTCATTGGTGAGAGCCATCGGTGAGGGTCATTGGTGAAGGGTCATCGATGAGAATCATGGTGAGGGTCATTAGTGAGAGTCACCGGTCATCAGTGAGGGTCTATGATGAGGGTCATTGGTGAAGGTCATCGGTGAGGGTCCAGGCCACAGAAACCAGTGTCTCCATCTCAGCGTTTCCCGTTTACAGTGACCAGGTGTCTCCCCTCCTCACCCCAAAGCAATAAGAGGGCCTTGCTGTCCATCTGAGAAGCCGGGGGGTGGGGACAGAGACCTTCACTGTCTCCGGCCACGTGCCCGGCGGGCCCTCGGGGGGCACTGGGTCACCGACCACGTGTCGCTGTCCTCCCGCAGAAGTGCCTTCGCTTCAACCCCGACGCCACGGTGTGGGTGGCGAAGCAGCGGATCCTGTGCTCGCTGAACCAGAGCCTGAAGGATGTGCTGAATTACGGGCTGTTCCAGCCGGCCAGCAACGGGCGCGACGGCAAGTTCCTGGACGAGGAGCGGCTCCTGCGCGAGTACCCGCAGCCCGCGGGCACGGGCGTGCCTTCCCTGGAGGTACCGACGGGAGACCCCCATTAAGTTCCAGCTCGGGCCCTGAGGTGCACCTGACGTTGCTGGGGTTGCCGAGGGCGGTGCCGTTCGTGGGCGCTTATTTGCCACGGAGATCTGACGGGCATGTGGGGCGGGACTTGGGGTGCGCACAGCACGCCCCCCTCGGGCTCTCGTCACTGGGACCTGCAGTCCCGGATGCCAATCCCGCTGGCCTGCCTCCCGAGCCCGCCTTCCTGCCCCGGGCGCCGTGTGGCCAGCCCTCCCGGGGTATTGGAAGCATGGCCTCCGTTCTCTTCCTGGCCCTCGGATGACCAGGGGGCGCTCTGAGCCGCCCCGCGCCTCCGTGGTGACGTGCTGAGCAGCCTTATCCACGGCCGCCTAGTGGCCCTGCCTCTCTGAGCCCGGGCTGCTACCCCGAGGGGACGGAGTGTTTCCACATGTGTGAGGGCCGTCACACAGGTAGCCAGCAGTGCGGCCATTTCTCCTCTCACACCGCGTCGCCAGTGTGAAGTGACCGCGTTCGTTTCCGTGCGGATCGCAGCCCGCACGCGAGCCACTGGGGGGGGGGGGGGGGCTGGGGGTCTGCGGCCTCTGGGCCACGGGAGACGGCTCCGCAGTCAGAGGTGTCGTGTGGCTGGGGTTGAGCGGAGGTCGCAGCTCAGAACGTGGTGCCTCCCACGCGGTCAGGTCCTCCTTAGCCTGGAGCGTCGCTGCCGGCACGTCTGAACGAAACGGGTCAGGGCCCCGGGAGAGGCAGGAGGTGGGAGGCCTGGGGGTTGGGAGGCCGCCGGACCCGACACCGACTCTCACACCGATGCGACACCGCGCCTCCCTCGCCCGCTGTTCCTCGTCTCCACAGAGCAGGCTCCGGCTCCTGGAGGCAGCTTCAAGGTCAAAGGAAGCGCTGCTGGTTGCGGAAATGAGTCCTGGCTCCTGGGCAGCGCCCAGCGCAGGCGCCCGCTCCCCACGGAGGCCCCCTGCTCCTCTGCCCTTGGGGCTGCTTTTGTCTCTTTTCCGGGCCTTGTGCCCCGGCTGCAGGCTCTCCGCGGCGCTTCCCTGCGCGTGTCCTGGGCCCTGGGTGCGGTGCAGCCGTTTCTGTAACCCCAGGAGGGTGCTGGAGCCCTGCTGGGGAACTGGCGAGGAGAAGGTGGTCCTCTAAGCAGCCTGGGAAATACTCACTGGGTCTTTTTCCCTGTTTCGGTGCCAGTTCCGGTACAAGAAGCGGGTGTACAAACAGTCCCATCTGGACGAGAAGCAGCTGGCCAAGCTTCACACCAAGGTAGGGGCTCGGCAGCCACCGCACTGTCTGCGGCATCTTCTTCTGAGCTCAGGGCGGCTCTGCAGGTGGAGTTTCTTCTCCCCGCCCGACCTAACCGCACAGCGGTCCCCGGGCTCCGGGCAAGGACCGGGAACGGGGAGGGTGCACCCAGGACAGGCCGGCTACGGCAGCCACGCGCGGGCTCCGTGCTCCAGCTGGGATCCGCGGCAGAAAGCCGCCGCTTGGCCAGCCCCGGGCTCGGCAGGGGGCCTCCGTCAGGGGCGGCTCCCCCTCCGTGGTGGAGGCCCGAGGCGCCCCGTGAGGACCTTCCCGTGGCTTCTGTCGGCGTCTCTTATGGAGATGTTCTCGCTTTCCCTTCTCCCCCGTAGACCAACCTGCGGAAATGCATGGACTACGTTCAGCATCGCTCGGTGGAGAAGATCGTGAAGATGCTGGACCGGGGCCTGGACCCGAATTTCCACGACCTGGAGACTGGGGGTGAGCGTGGCCAGGGCCTCAGCGGGCCTCCCGGAGGCACGGGCTCGGGGCGCGCACAGTGACTGGGTTCCGAGTGCATGTGTGTGTGGTATCCACGGTCCACCGTGCTTTCCAGGGCTTTCTCGCTGCGCCGTGAGCTGGGGGGTGAGCCGCGTTCGCTCCCACGGCGTCTCCAGCGTCTGCACGTGCTCAGTACATACCTGTTGACTGAGTGAATGAATGAATGAATGAATGATGCCATGCACGGAGCTGCTGTGTGTCCGCAAGGGTCTTGCCCCCCCTGCTGGGAACCAAGCCCCTCCCTCGTGTGGATGAAATGGCCACAGGTTCTCAGGGTCCCCAGTGACATTGGGGCTGGGGGTTCCTCCCTCCCTCCCTCCCTCCCTCCCTTCCTTCCTTTCTTTTTCTCTTTATTGTTAATCCTCACCCGAGGATAGTTTTTCCATTGATTTGTTGAGAGAGGGAGAGAGGGAGAGCGTGGGAAGGGGAGAGGGAGAGAAACATTGATGTGAGAGACACACATGGATCGGTTGCCTCCCGCACGTGCCCTGACTGGGGCTGGGGATTAAGCCTGCAACCGAGGTACGTGCCCTTGACCAGAATCGAACCCGGGACCCTTCAGTCTCCAGGTTGATGCTCTAACCACTGAACCAAGTCATCTAGGGCTTTTTTTTTAAAATTTCAAATGAGCACTAGCTTTTATTTAATCTTAGTTTTTCTCTTTTTCTCCGTTTCATTGGCGTAAGACTGACCTGCGACGTTGCGTCAGTGTTGGGTGCCCGCAGGATGTGTGTCTGCCTGTGGGACGCCCACACCGTCGGTCCGCCTGTCACCCACACCTCGCGTGGTTACGGTCTTTCCTTATGAGAACTTTCATGATCTATTCTCTTAGCAACTTTTTTTGTTTTTTAAATATATTTTTTATTGATTTCAGAGAGGAAGGGAGAGGGAGAGAGAGAGGGAGGGAAACATCAACGACAAGAGAATCACTGATCGGCTGCCTCCTGCACGCCCCCCACTGGGGATCGAGCCCACAACCCAGGCCTGTGCCCTGACTGGGAATCGAACCCTGACCTCCTGGTTCATAGGTCGACCCTCAACCACTGGGCCACGCCGGCCGGCAGCAACTTTCAAAGTGCAGCATCGCCACCTGCTGCACACACGTCACCTCATAGCCGGAAGGAAGTGTGCGCTCCCCGGCCGCCCACGGCCCCCTCCTGCCCCTGGCGGCCTCCAGCCCGTCCTCTGTGGCTGTGGCCCCGGCTTTGTCTTTCTGTCTGTCTGTCGCCCTTGAGCATCATCCCCTCAAGGCCCACCCATGTTGTTGCCACGGCAGGACTTCCTTCTTTATGTCGGTTAACGTCCCATGGTGTGTGGGGGACGCGATGCTCAGGTCCCTTTAGACTTGGCTACGTGAGCCCCGGGGCTGAGCGGCTCCCCCAAGGTCCGGCTCTGAGGTGTATGCGTCCCCCCAGAGACGCCCCTGACCTTGGCGGCCCAGCTGGACGACTCGGTGGAGGTGATCAAAGCGCTGAGGAACGGCGGGGCGCACCTGGACTTCCGCGCCAGGGACGGGATGACGGCCCTGCACAAGGCCGCCCGTGCCAGGAACCAGGTGGCCCTCAAGGTACCGTCTGTGCCCAGCTTGCTCCGGGAACGCCCCACCCCTCAGATTCCCTGGTTCCCCTTCCCCCACCCCCACTCACAGCCACGCCAGGTGACCCCGAACTGCCAGCTGGAGAGGGGCTGGTGGGGGTGGGGGCAGGAGAGGGGGGGTGCCTGGCTCTCCTGCGCCTCCTGGTGTTCGGCCGTAGAAGCGGCTGTTCCCGGGCCTCTGTGCCCGCTCCAGGCCCGGGCTGTGTCCCCCGGCGGCCAGCGCCGACCCTCCTGTTTCTCTAGACCCTCTTAGAGCTGGGTGCGTCCCCGGACTACAAGGACAGCTGCGGCCTCACGCCGCTGTACCACACGGCCATCGTGGGCGGCGACCCCTACTGCTGCGAGCTGCTGCTGCACGAGCGGGCGGCCGTGTGCTGCCGGGACGAGAACGGCTGGCACGAGATCCACCAGGTAGGCCCACGCCCGCGCCCGCTGTGCGGCGTCTCCCCGGCCCCCTCGCAGGCAGGGCTCCAGGCGGGCAGGGCCTCCAGGTTTCCTTTTCCTAGAACATTTGAATCAGTCCCCCCCACCCCCCACCCCCCGCGTTTAAACACCTGGGGGAGCTCCCCAGAAACACGCCTGCCTGACTCCAGAGCAGCTGGAGGAGCGGGCAGGCCTGTGGCGTTGCTGCACGGCCAGCCAGCGGGGCCGGAGCCCTGCGGGTGCCTTCTGAGTGCAGGGGCCCAGGGCCCACGGAGGCCTGTGTCCCAGCCCGTCTGCGCTGGGACCGTCCGCGCCCTCCGGGTTCGTCTGTCTCACAGGCTGGGAAAGGCCCCCCGTCCTGCTGAGGCACCTCGTCACCCGAGGGCGGTGGCCGCGGCCAGCGCTGCAGAGCCCAGCGGCTCCCTCTGTGGCTGAGGGGCCTGCCCGAGGCCCCTGGCCAGCAGCTGCCCGAGCCGGGCGCACTCGCTCCTCCCCCCGGGCGCACTCGCTCCTCCCCCCGCGAGGCTGGTGCTTTCTCTCCCCTCCAGGCGTCAAGCAGGAGCCGCGCTGATAGGGCTGTGCCCGGGGCAGGGGGGACGGGCAGGCGGGCACGCGGTGGGCTGGCTCCGCTCTCCCTGTTGGGCTCCTGCAACTCGTCTGTCCCTCCGTCCAGCACCCTGGGGCGTGGACAGCTCCCTCCCGGCCTGTCTGGCTCCCCTCCTCTCTCAGGTCCCATGCCCAGGCCAGGCCTGCCCGCAGGTGCTGCAGGTGGCGGCCTCCCCTTGGCCTCCTCTCCTGGGATCGACCCCGGCCATGGGTCTCATTGCAAAGGTGGCTTCCCATCCAGGGGCTCCGGGCACCGCCCTGGGCTGCCCCGCCCCCTGCAGGCTGACTCGGGGAGAGCAGTTATTTGAGCTCATGTCTACAAAGGACCTCAAATGGCCCCAGTATTTTTCCTGAAATGCCCTTCCACGTGGAGATCTTTCGTAAACGAAGTAGAAACAAGTAATGCCCGGCTGGCGTGGCTCAGGGCTTGAGCGTCAACCTATGAACCAGGAGGTCAGGGTTCGATTCCGGGTCAGGGCACAGGCCTGGGTTGTGGGCTCATCCCCAGTGTGGGGCGCGCAGGAGGCAGCCCGACAGTGATGCTCTCTCATCACTGATGCCTCTCCCTCCCTCTCCCCTCCTCTCTGACATCAGTAACATTTATTTTTTTAAAGAAGAAACACCCAGATGCTTTCCCACAATCTAGGAACTTGGAGGACTCATTCCGCGTGTGGCTTTAATTGCTGGGCAGTTTCAGGTCCGCCTGCCCCCCTCCCTGCCCCCTCGCTCCCACCTGGGGACCCGGGGGGCCAAGCAGCCGGGTTCCCTCCCACGCACCTTCCCTTCGTGTGCAGCCGGCACACGTGACGGGCCCACGTGGGAGTCCCCTCCCGACCTCCCGCTCTGTTTCTCTGACTTTGTTTCGGGATAAACGAGGGCGCGTCTGGCCTGGGGTGCAGTGCGCGGGGTGAAACCCCGTCAACATGGTCCAGGGCCCCTGAGCCAGGGACTTACCGCTGGGAGCTGCCTGATAATCGCGGAAGTCAGTTGAGGTAGAATTCATGGCTCAGGGCAGCTTAGGGAGAAATTCCTGTGACGCACCTGGCAGCTAGTGACTGCACAATATATGCCCACCATGCCCGTCACTATCATTGTCATGGTTACTGTTTGGCCACGCCCCATCCCAGTGCTCATCCCCTCTAGCCACGCCCCACCACAGCCATAATCACCAACAGGCCACGCCCCCACTGTCATCCTTAGGCCACGCCCCATCACCATCAATCCACGCCCCCAGCAGGCTTCATCACCCTCAGGCCATGCCCCCACCACTGTCATCATCACCAACAGGCCACGCCCCATCACCATTAAGCCACGCCCCCACCAGGCCAGCATCACCCTCAGGCCACACCCCCGCCACTGTCATCATCACCCTCAGGCCAGGAAAGCATGGTGTCAGCAGGTGCTCCCTCAGCTCACTGCCTCTGGGGTGGGAGCATCCTTGTGGAGCTGGGCGTGTCCCCGATGGAGCTTGGGGTACCCCCTGGTGCCCTGTTGACAGCAAGGTCTTGTCTCAGGCCTGCAGGTATGGACACGTGCAGCACCTGGAGCACCTGCTCTTCTACGGGGCGGACATGGGGGCTCAGAACGCCTCGGGGAACACAGCCCTGCACATCTGTGCCCTCTACAACCAGGTCAGTATGGTGTCCGCGGGGCCCACCCCCACCTTCCACGACTGGAGGGCGGGGAACGGGACCGTTCCCTGGGGCCCTGGGGCCCGGGTCGAGGCAGGTCCTGAATGTCGCTGTGGGAGGTCCCTGCCCCTCCTTCCCTTCATTCCTATTCTCTGACTTCAAGGACCTCGCCTGGAGAGTGGGAGGGGGGGGCGGGTGTGGACACTGCATGAGCAGCCTTGGGGGGGGGGTGCTCTGCTACCTGGAGGAGCAGAGGGCGGACCACTGATTAGGGTGATGCTGGGGGCCCCAAGGGTCTTGCAGCTGCATGTCCTCTGCCATCAGCAGTATCTTCCCAGCCCAAGCAGTGCTCCCGTCTTTTTAGGTGAAACCTCCAGCCTTCGCCTGAGACCAGACCCTTTCCCCGTCCAGCCCATGGGCGCGCCCCCACCCAGGCCCCTCCAGCCACTTTGAAATCCCGATTTGCTTCTAGCTAGTCAACCTTGGAAAACTCCTACACATCCTTCAAGACCCCATTCAGATAGCCCGCCCTCAGTCAAGCCACCCCGGATGAGCTCCCCATAGTGTCCACTGTGGTTCTCGCTGTGCAGTGCTTTGGGGGACCGCCAGGGGCAGGCATTGTTGTGACTCACCTGTCCTTTCTGCTGGCACCCCTCGCCCTGGGCCCCTCTTCTCAGGGGCATGAGCAGCCATGGTTCGTGGTCTCCACGCGGCTGGCATAGGAGAGCAGCTCAGCCTGCTGAGTGGGGAGCATTTCAGCTTCAAGAAGTATTTGCAGGACAAGGGGCTGGCTTCCTGCTTCTGGAGGCGACCCCCCGCACAGTGGGGTTTGTGTGCAGCTGGGGCGCTCCCCGGGGGACCCTGGCGCTTGCATGGGAATAGCTGTGTGAGCCTGGGGTGCCTTGCCCGGCTGCTCCAGGAAAGTACGCCCCAAGGCTTGGCCGCAGCTGGTAAAACATCTGTGCCAACATGTGCTTCTTACGCCCCGAGCAGGAGACAGTCCTTCATTGGCCCCAGGAGACTGCGCGCGTCTTTCATCAAGACAAAACCGCCCGATAAACATGTTTGCTGCCACTTGAAATAATTGTGGCCAAGATGGTCTTGAGCGTGTGGGTGGTTCCACTGTGGTCTGCAGTCTGTGACGGGCGGGGCTGGTTTGACCCATGTCACTGTCCCTGCTCAGGTCTGGCCGGGCTCTCGGGAAAGCCCTGCCCAGGTGCCTCAGGTTAGAGGAGGGGTCAGCGAACTCTCTCTGCAGAGGCCACAGGTTTGAGGCCACGGCCACGCCGCTTTGCCGTTGAGACAGCACTAGATGATTTTGTGGCTGTGTGCCAGTAAAACTTTATTTACAAAGCAGGCAGCAGGCCGCTTGAGCCTGTGGGCCATAGTTTGCACACCCCCTACTGGGGATCGAGCCTGCAACCCGGGGCCTGTGCCCTGAATGGGAATCGAACTGTGACCTCCTGGTTCATCAGTTGATGCTCACCCACTGAGCCCCGCTGGCTGGGCGTATTTCACTTCTGATGTATTTTGTGCACACGTGCGAGACTGTAGAATGTAGCCTTAAAAAGGCCGCTGTTTGGCCCAGGGTGCATATACTTTAAACTTCTATAGATTCTGCCAAGTTGTCCACAGTGTTTGTAGCAGTTAAACTTCAACCGGTAGCACTGGGCGGGGGTGGGGGGGTTCACCCTGATCCTGGCCGCGCAGAGGGAGGAACCCGCCCTCCCTCTGACTTTGCCAGCGTTTCTCTGCCTCTCGGGAGGGAGCGAGCTTCTGCAGCTGGGGCGGGGCTCTGCCTCAGCGGCTCCGGGGGATCTGTCCGTCACCCGCGTGTCCCGTGTGCCTGCAGGACAGCTGTGCGCGGGTGCTGCTGTTCCGGGGCGGGGACAAGGAGCTGAAGAACTACAACAGCCAGACCCCCTTCCAGGTAAGAGGAACCCTCGCAGGACACCTCACACAGACGGGGCGGGGGTGGGGGGCGAGACCGCGGGTCTCTGGGCATCGCGTGCTTTTGACACGAGGTCGGCTGGTCCCGTGGGGGATGTCATCCGCGTTGGGAGCTGTGCCCGGCGCCTGTGTCCCTGTGTCCCAGTGCCTGCGGCTCCCAGAGCCCCTTCCGACCAGTGAAACTTCAGCCCTGGCCAGTTCGGCTCAGTGGATAGAGCATCGGCCTGCAGACCGAAGGGTCCGGGTTCTATTCCTGGTCCGGGCACATGTCTAGTTTGCAGGCTCGATCCCCAGTGTGGGGCCTGCAGGAGGCAGTCGATCCATGAATCTCTCTCATCATTGATGTTCCTAACTCTCTTTCCCTCCCCCTTCCTCTCTGACATCAATTAAATATATTAAAAAACAAAACCAAAAAACACGTGGCTCTTCACTCAGAGGCGGTGCTGTCGTAGGCGCCGGCGCCCTGGGCTGTGGACGTGGCACGGAGTCGGCACCACAGAAACCGAGGGCCGTGCGACAGATGACTGGGCCCTGTCTCCCTGGCCGGCATCAGTAACTAATACTCAGACGGAAGGAAATCGGACAGGTCCCAGTATTGTGCTGTTTAGACACGGGAGGCGGCCAGCCAGCGTGGCTCAGTGGTTGAGCGTCAACCTATGAACCAGGAGGTCATGGCTCCGTTCTGGTCAGGTCACATGCCCGGGTTTTGGGCTCGATCCCCAGTGTGGGGCGTGCAGGGGGCAGCTGATCGATGATTCTCTCTCATCATTGATGTTTCTATCTCTCTCCCTCTCTCCCTTCTTCTCTGAAGTCAGTAAAAGTATATTTTATTTTTTAAAAATAATTCTTTATTGTTGAAAGTATTCCATAAGTGCCCTCCATTGACTCCCTCCAGCCCACCCCCACCCCTGCCCCAAGCCCTCACCGCCCCATTGTCTGTGTCCATGGGCCATGCATATATGCATACAAGGTCTTGGGTTACCTCTCACCCACCCTCCCTCCCTCCCCTGCCTTCCCTCCGAGATTCTGCACTCTGTTCCCTGCTGCCGTGTCTCTGGGTCCACTCCGTTTATCAGTTTATTTTGGTCATTAGATTCCACATGTGAGTGAGATCATGTGACACTTCTCTTTCTCTGACTGGCTTCTTTCACTTAGCACAGCGGTTCTCAACCTGTGGGTCGCGACCCCTTTGGTGGTCGAATGACCCTTTCACAGGGGTCGCCTAAGACCATCGGAAAACACATATATAATTACATATGGTTTTTGTGATTAATCACGATGCTTTAATTATGTTCAATGTGTAACAATGAAAATACATCCTGCATATCAGATATTTACATGACGATTCATAACAGTAGCAACATTACAGTTACGAAGTAGCAACGAAAATAATTTTATGGTTGGGGGTCACCACAACATGAGGAACTGTACTAAAGGGTCGCGGCGTTAGGAAGGTTGAGAACCACTGACTTAGCATGATACTGTCAGTGGGTAAGAGATCCTTCTTTTTTCCTGCTGCGTAGTATTCCATGGTGTAAATGTACCATGGAAACGGGAGGCAGAGCCCCGAGAAGCTGTGGAGCGTGGACTGTGGTTGGGGTGTGGTTGGGGGCTGGGCGGAGCAGCAGCTACAACAAGTGGGAAATGTTTGACTCCTAGAAATGTCCGTCCAGATGGACGGCATTCAGGAAAGTTCAGCTTGACTCCATCTTTTTAAAGAAACTCTTTCCTAGTAGCCTTGTCCCTCACCATGGTCCCCGGTGAACTCCTATTCACCCTTCAAAGCCCCAGCTCCTCTCTGCAGGGGGCGTCCTACAGCCTTTGGCTCCCATGTTACTTGATCTGTGCCTTTTCCATGTCGTGTTGGAATAGACGGCTTCTGCGTCAGCTTCCCCAGATGTACTGGGAAGAGGCTGCTGCGTCCCACCCATCCTTTGCCCCGGTCTCGGGCCAGGGCTGGTCAGTTGGAAGGCGCTGTGGCTGGGCAGAGGCCTGGACACACAGCTCCCTGTAATTTCTCACTCCGGCCACTGGGTGGCAGTGTTGATGCGGGCCAGCGGGGACGGTGGGGTGCGGGAGGCTGGGCGTCCTGGGAGCTGAGGAGGGAAGGAGGGTGTTTGCGGAGACAAGTCCGCTCCTGAATGTAAGGCCCCGATTGCTCACCAACCGGAAGGGCAGGAGACGCCCCTGCCTCGGTCGCCTGGCTATCGCACGGGAGCCACAGACTCGGGGCGCCGACAGCTGACATCGATCCCGGTGCGGGGGCTGTGGGAGGACAGGGTGCCGGCCGCTCCGTCTCTGACGAAGACAGTGGTCACCAGGTCCTGGCACGTGGCTGCCTCCTGGGCCTCACACGGACTTTGTGCCTGGAGGGAGACAGATAGAGATGAGGGTAGAGGCTGGGAGACAGACGGGGAGACAGAGAGATGGGGGGACAGAGAGACAGGGAGACAGAGACGGGGGGACAGAGAGACAGGGAGACAGAGAGATGGGGGACAGAGAGACGGGGGGACAGAGAGACGGGGGACCGAGAGACAGGGGGACAGAGAAATGGAGGGACAGAGAGACGGGGACCGAGAGACAGGGGGACAGAAAGACGGGGGGACAGAGAGACGGGGGGACAGGTTGAGAACGCGCTGGTGTCTGCGTTGCAGCTTCATTGAGATATAACTGACATGACCTTGTTGATGTGTGCGGTATAAAACGGTGACTTACGTGTCGCTGTCACGCAGTGATCACCCACTGAGGCTAGCTGCCTGCCCCCCACGGCCCCACCCCGGCCTGCGTGTGGGGAGGGCTCTCACGCGCTCTCTCAGCGCCGTCTCGTGCACAGACCGCGCTGCTAAGGACCCTTCCCGGCTGGAACGTGGGGAGCCACGTACACCCCTGAGCGCGCTGACCTGGGAGCTGGCCTGTGGCTGGATGCTCAGCCCAGAGCCCTCCGCGGGCCCCGCGCTGGCCGTCCAGGGCGGACAGAGGAGCCCGCCGCCACCGTCAGGATGGCCCCGCCAATCAGAGGCCCAGGGGCGGGACGGCGCCGGGTCCGTCCAGCCGGGAGGGAGGGTCCTCCGGGAGGGCAGGACGGACTCCCTCAGTGGGGAGGGTGTGGGTGACTGTCATCCCCACCATCGGGGTGTGGGTGTGTCTTCACCTGCCAGGGCCTCGGCCCCTCCCTCGCTGGGCCCCCCCGCCCGCCGCCCCCTGGCCGCCCTTGGCGAGCCGCGCCCTCGTGGTCAGCGGCCACCAGGCCTGGCAGCGCACAGAGATGGAGGCGTGGCCCCTCCCTCCGCCAGGCAGGTATTTATAAACTCCCAGGTGGCCTCACCCCCGTTCTCCTGCATCATTTGGTTTTTAATGTTTTGAGAATAAGCCCCAGCGAGGCGGCTCGTGAGGGATGGCATTTGTTCAAGACGCAGCTCGCGGCCAGCTGTGCCGCCCGCCATTCAGCCGAATGGGCCGTCGGGGAGACTCGAGCCTCGGCCGTCCAGGCGGGGGGAAGGGCGGGGGGACACTGGGGGCCCACCAGGGCTGCCGGCTGGGGGTGCGGCTGGGGGTGCGGCTGGAGACGCCCACCCCGGGCGGCCTCTGAGGGATGTGCCTCACTGGGGACAGCCCGCAGCTCGGGGTCTGGCTTCAGGCACCCGTTAGGGTCACAAGGACTGAGCAGCCTGGGATTCGCTCGCCTCTCCCAGCGCTGGGTTCCCAAAGCCGTCGCCAGCCTCAGGGCGTCGTCTCTTGGAAAAGCATCTTTCAGGGCGTCCTGTGTATTCTTTTCTTCTTCTCTTCTTTTTAAAAATATGTTTTTATTGATGTCAGAGAGGAAGGGAGAGGGAGAGGGAGAGAAACGGCAATGATGAGAGAGAATCAGGGATCGGCTGCCTCCTGCACGCCCCCACTGGGGATGGAGCCCACAACCCGGGCCGGTGCCCCGACCGGGAATCGAACCCTGACCTCCTGGTTCCTAGGGGGATGCTCAGCCCCTGAGCCACGCCGACGGGCGAGGCTCACTTTCTCTAGGCCGGGGTTCGAGATCAGAACCTGCCGCTCCCGTGGCTCTCATGGGAGGCCCGACCTTGTGGCTGTTGGTCCCATTTCCGTAGCCACGGCAGAGCCAGCTGCCCCCCAAACACTCCTTTTCCCCCAACAGCATCACCGTTTCAGCTCGAAAAGAACATTTCCCAGGAGGACGCGGTGTCATGGAGGCGATGGTGGTGGTAGGGAGTTTACGGGGCCGTGGGAGAGGGACTGACAGGCACAGAGCCGCCGGCTCTCACGGAGCCCGTGTCGGGGACGCTGAGTGTGAGCTGCGGCCTGGGCCGCGGCTGGCGGTTCTCAGGCTGCGTGACAATGTCCGGAGGAGGGTGTCCACTTTGGGAGAATAACCAGCCGGTCGAGAGGGCGTGTCTGTGTCAAAGAGGCGGCCAGCTCCACAGCAGCAGCTTTTAAAATACCGGCCGTCGCCACGGTGACAGACCCTCAGGCCCAGGTCCCGCTGACCCCCGGGGCCAGCCAGTGGCCTTTAACGTGGGGGCATGGCTGTAGCAGCAAGACAGCTCCCGGTTCTACTGTAGCTGGTTCCCTGGTCTCCTGTCTGTGCTAAGCAGGGAGAGGGAGGCAGTGGACAGAGAGACCGTGAGCCACGGGAGAGAGACCGTGAGCCACATGGGGGGAGAGACCATAAGCCACAGGAGAGAGACCACTAGCCACGGGAGAGAGACCGTGAGCCACATGGGGGGAGAGACCATAAGCCATGGGGGAGAGACCACTAGCCACGGGAGAGAGACCGTGAGCCACATGGGGGGAGAGACCATAAGCCATGGGGGAGAGACCACTAGCCACAGGAGAGAGACCACTAGCCACGGGGGAGAGACCGTGAGCCACATGGGGGGAGAGACCATAAGCCATGGGGGAGAGACCATAAGCCACAGGAGAGAGACCACTAGCCACGGGGGAGAGACTGTGAGCCACATGGGGGGAGAGACCATAAGCCATGGGGGAGAGACCACTAGCCACAGGAGAGAGACCACTAGCCACGGGGGAGAGACCGTGAGCCACATGGGGGGAGAGACCATAAGCCACAGGAGAGAGACCACTAGCCACGGGGGAGAGACCGTGAGCCACAGGAGAGAGACCGTGAGCCACATGGGGGGAGAGACCATAAGCCATGGGAGAGAGACCACGAGCCACGGGGGAGAGACCGAGAGTCACGGGAGAGAGACTGTGAGCCACGGGAGAGAGTGAGTGGCCGCTGGCCATGCTCTCTCATAGCTGGAAGGGGTTGGACCGGGGACCCTGGGTTTCCCCGTTCAGTTGTCTCATTCCTCGCGGATTCTATATTTGCAGACTCGCCTGCTTGCTAAAATTTACGTGTAACCCATGAAAACTTGCAGAGTTTCCCACCTTTTTTGGTGCTTTTTCCTGGCGATTTTGCTGCTTAGCCGGCCCCAGGCGTGGGAGGGTTGTCTGTGCCTCACGGAGGACGTGCCAGGTTAGGGAAGCCTCGCCCAGGCCTGAGGGACGGCGCTGCTGGCCTTGGGTCACCGTTGGCTTTGTCAACAGCAGGCACGAAACAAGGCGTCTTCACACAGAAACGGGAAGGCCGGGCTGTGTCACTATCAGGTTGTGTGAGTATAACAGGGTGGCCCGGCCGGCGTGGCTCAGGGGCTGAGCATCGACTTGTGAGCCAGGAGGTCATGGTTCGATTTCCGGTCAGGGCACAGGCCCGGGTTGCGGGCCCGATCCCCAGTGTGGGGCATGCAGGAGGCACCTGATCGATGATTCTCTCATCATTGATATTTCTCTCTCTCTCTCCCCCCCCTCCTCCCTTCCTCTCTGAAATCAATAAAAATGTCCTTTTAAAAATAATAATAAACAAAGATGACAGCGTGACGGGCTGGCCGGAGCCCTGCCCTGTGTCTGCCCTCGGAGCGCAGGCTCAGTGCCCGCGGGACGTAAGGCCTGGAAAAGTGAGAAGTGACTGCTCGTGAGCCGGGTGGTAGGAAGCCAGAGCTGTGCCCACTGCAGGGCCAGCAGGAGCGGGTGCCAGGTGCACGGGGACCGCACACCCTGTGGGCTCGCCTGGGAGGGCCCGGCCTGTGCCCGCTGGGCTAGGCCTGCTGGGCACGGGGGTGGCTTTGCTCACACTGAACCCAGAACGCAGGCGGGAGGCTGTGGGCAGGACGCATGCGTCCAGGTCACTTTCCACCAGGGGGTCTGGGTCGGGCTTTTCCAGGGTTTCTGCTGGTTGAGTGCAGGTGCGAGTGGTGGGCACAGGCCGTGGCGGCACAGGGCCAAACACGCTGGGTCATGCTGTTGCTTCCTCAGCAGCTGGCAGGGTTGCCAGGTGGCGCCCAGCCCCGGGCCTGGCCTGCGAGCATGAGGGATGCCTTCCCTCTGGCGGGCGGTCATTCATAACGTGCACCTGCCTCTTCCCTCTGAGTCAGTGGGGCTGGAAACGTTTATTCCCTGGTGGCCAGGCGGGGGCCGGGGTCTACCCGGTGCTCTCAGACTCGTGCCGATGTGACCAGGGCCGCGTGGACCCCGCGCCTGCCCCTGCGTCGCCGGCCGCCCTGCTGCAGCTGGCGCTGTCCTTCCCCCTGGAGGAGGCGCCGAGTGACCGCCCGGGTGGGCAGGCTGCCCCGCGAGGAGGACGGTGCTGGGGAGGGAGGGTCGGGCCCACCTAGACCAGGAACCTGGAGGGCGCCGTCTGGGGACAGGGTGCCGGCCGCTCCGTGGTTGGGGTGTGGCGGCGGGCTGGGCGGAGCAGGGGCATGCAGGAAAGGTCACTGAGCACAGGAGGCTGCAGCTGGCCGTGGGGCGACCCACTCGGGGGCACAGGGAGCTCGGAACAGAGGGCGACAGGGGACGTGCTCGGCCGACTCCCCGGCGAGGCCCCGGCGCCGCCTGCACAGCCATTGCCGCACGGACCCCTCTGGCTTTGCCACCACGGAGGCCACGTGATGGGCAGGAATTCTCCCGCTGAGAAGCCGGGGATTGTGCTGCCCCGTCCGGGACCCGGCGGGCGGGTGCTGGCCCGGCGTCAGGGAAGCAGCCAGCGGGCGTCTCCGGCTCTGTGTCCTGGGGTCTGAGGGCAGGGCTGTCACGGGTGGGCCCTGGGGATGTTGCAGGCGGAGCAAGGGCTGGCCCGACGCCACAGGAGCCACAGCAACGGCCTGACTTTGGAGAAATGGAAGCAGCTTTTACCTGTAGACTAGAGGTGCGATGCATGAAAATTGTGCGAGGGGCTCGGCCCCTGCCACTGCGGCTCCGTCCGGAAGGTCGTCCGGTCTAGTTAGCATATTGCACTTTTATTGTTGTAGATGGGCCGGCGAGGAGACAGAGAAGGGGCGGGCTCACATCTGCCTCCCGGTCCAGGGTCCGGGGAGGTTCAAACGGTTTCTGCATCGGATCTTCCCGGACATTGGCCCTCGTTCCTGCGCCGGGCTGCGGCCATGCGGTCCGGGTTCCATGTGGTCCTGGTTCCATGCGGTCCTGGTTCCCCGGGGTGGGGCGGGCAGTCAAGGCTTCACGGGGGCCCTCGTGGGCCTGGTGTCCCAGGGCTACCTCGGTCGGGTCCTGGAGAAAAGGGTCAGTCCCAGCCCTGGCGTGGCGCGGCCTCCCACGGCCGGGCTCTGCTGCGCGCAGGCCGCCCGCTGTTCTCGGTCATCGTCTCGCCATCCGTCCGCGGTCGGCGCCCTGACTCGTGCTGAAGGGCTGGCTGCTAAGGGCTGGGGCGGCGTGTGCCGTCTGCTCGCACGTGCGGCCGATGCGGCACCAGCAGCGGCACAGCCGGGATTCCTGCAGCATCGAGGCGTCGCGCAGGCACCCGGGTCTGTCCGTGGGAACAGACGCCAGCCTGTTGGTTCGCGGCTTCGAGACCAGGGATGAGCCCGGGCCGGGTTCTCGGTGGTTGGGGCGGCGGCCGGCGAGGCTTGGCGGGAGCGCGGAGGTGTGTGTTTTTAAATATTTTTATTGATGTCAGAGAGGAAGGGAGAGGGAGAGAGAAACATCCATGATGAGGGAGAGTCATGGATTGGCTGCCTCCTGCACGCCCGCCACTGGGGATGGAGCCCACAACCTGGGCATGTGCCCTGACCGGGAATCGAACCGCGACCTCCTGGTTCATAGGTTGACGCTCAGCCCCCGAGCCACGCCGGCCGGGCTGGGGCCGGTTTTTAATGAGCCAAAGCGGAGGGTGCGTCCCGGGCGTCTGTGGTCAGTGGTTTTGAATGGTTTGCGATGACGCCAGCAGCTCGTGTTGGGAAAGTGCCCTTTTCCGTGGCGTCTTCCACCCCCACCAACTCCCCCCGCGGGGCTCCAGGGACCCAGCTCCTAGCACGCGGATGTCTTGTTGTCTTGTTCCCAAAGGCACGGAAATGCAGTTTTACGTTATTTAATCTGTTGAATGTCACCTATGTGCCCCCATGCACTTTAGCGGGTGGATCCGTGGGTGTGGTTTGCACCCTGAGCCTCACAGCGGCGCTGACGCCAACACGGAGCACGTGCGAGGCAGGCGCAGGAGAAGCCTCGCGGACTGTCTCAGCCACGCTGAAGAAGGTGTAGCTCTCATTTAAAAAAATATATATTTCTATTGATTTCAGAGAGGATGGGAGAGGGAGGGAGAGAGAGAGATCAATGATGAGAGAGAATCATGGATCGGCTGCCTCGTGCACGCCCCACACTGGGGGTGGAGCCCACAACCCGGGCCTGTGCCCTGACCGGGAATCGAACCTGGGACCCTTCAGTCTGCAGGCGGCACCCTACCCACTGAGCCGCACCAGCCAGGGCTCGTTTCTTTTTAATAAAGGGCCCCGATGGCTCGTTTTGCTGTCACGGCGTGCAGAGGCCGTCCTCCGGGCGCCGTAACGCCTGTCCTCTCTCGCAGGTGGCGATCATCGCGGGCAACTTCGAGCTGGCGGAGTACATCAGGAGCCACAAGGAGACGGACGTGGGTGCGTAGGGCGGGGCGCGGCTGGCGGGCGTGTGGCCAAGGTGGCGGCGCGGGCGGCCCCCAGTCCTCCTCAGACGGGCTCTGAGTCCGCGTTTAGCGAAGCGCAGCAGAAAGCGTAGTAGCGAGGCCTTCAGCCCCGTCCCGGGTGTGTGACCTCCCGGCACCGTGGGCTCAGGGAAACCCACGCGTTAGGGAGGGAAATGGGCGAAGTGGCCACAAGGATGGGGCCGCTGTCCAGCTGCTGAGCCAGGCAACCTGTGAGGAGCCCAGACGGGTTCACTAGAAGATTCCGTCACCTACCCGCCTCCACTAGACCAGCGGCTCCCAGCGTGGGGCCCACGCCCACGGGGCCATGTGACTTCTAAGGGGGACAATTCGAGAATGAGTTATTACCAGTCAGGTTTTTGCATTTCTTCTGGTTCTAGGGGCCTCGTCTACAGAATATAACTATATGTCGTGACATGTTTGTTCTCTGTTATAGGTTTTGAAACTTTGCTATTTTTTCCTATCCCTTCATATTATTGTTATTATTTTTTAACAGTTTCTTAGTGATTTCTTCCCCAGGACTCCCACTGTCCTTCCGTTCTTTGATTTTTCTCCTTCGTGGACGCCATGTTCTTGGGAAGCTGGTTTGGACCAAGTTCATGGCCTTTGATGTTTCCTCCACTGAATAGGGGTTCACTTTTTGAATAAGGAGAATTATATGTCACGGGGGGGGGGGGCATGGGATTTCAGAGACGCTTAGGTGAGGCGCGGCCAGAAAAAGGCTGGGGACCACTGACTCTCACGGAGAGGCGGCGACTGGATGAGGCGAGACGGGCCGGGGGCACCCCCTCCGCCCTCCTCGGCGTCGCCCCAGCATCGGTGCCCGCCCCCGCCGCCTGCTGACCCCTGCTCCCCTTTCAGTGCCCCTCGTGCCAACCAGGAGGACCGTCCCTAGGGCACCTCCTCCCTCCCGCTGCCCTGCCGGCGGCTGGGCCCCGCCTTGCATCCTGGAGGAGCCAGCTGGCCTGTGTCCCCCGGCCCCGGGCCTGCACAGGAGCCACAGTGGGGAGCAGGCCGCCTGGACCGGCAGCGGTGAGCGTCCGCCGATGGCTGGCACCATCCCATCGAGGGGGGCGGGGGGCTCCCGGGGCCCCGAGCGGTAGCCGGTGCATCTGTGTCTCCCTGCCTGCGCCCCTCGCCCCGTGTTTGGTGTCGGGGAGGGCGAGGCCTTGGTCTGGCTGTCGAGTCTGTGCCGTGTGGTGTGGCTGGTCCCCGCCCTGCCTCTGGGAGCTGCCAGGCTGTAGAACAAGTCGCTGCCCTTGCCCAGCCGTGCCCTGCGCTGAGCGTTGCCTCTGGAGGCTGCACGAGCCCCTCCTGGGAGCCGGGCCCGCGCCGTTGCTCCGAGTCCCAGCCGCACGACAGGCAGCGCAGCACCTCCGTGGGCGCGTTGCAGAGCCGGATGCGCGATGTCCGCACAGGGATTTAGCAAATGCAGTGGCTCAGAGTCCCCCTGCCTCCCCGGCCCGAGAGCAGGACAGTAAGACACGGCGTCTGCCTCTAAGAACACCGCTGCCGTCCGGCACCGGGATCCGCTCAGCAGGGCCCTCAGCATGGGGTTGGGGGGAGGTCCCACCCACGACTGTGGCGATTTCTAGTGGCCCCGCGTGGATCCGGGGCCATCCTTCTTGTCCTTATTTAGCGCCCCCTTGAGTGGGGCGCCCCCTGTGGAGGGAGGCGGGGTGTGGCTTCCTTCCCTGGCCCTCGGAAAGGAGCTGAGAAGCGCCGGGGACTGTGGCCCCGGCCTCCAGCCCTGCAGGCCCCCAGCCCTCGCCAGCCCCCCTCGGAGCTAAGGACCAGCCTCTGGCCTGTCCCACGCCAGCTCCGCCTCCAACGCCGCCAAGCTGGGGCAGGGGGACGACACACTGAGGCAGTTTAGAGCCCAGATGGGGCGGCACCTGGCTCGTCTCTCCCATTTGGGGTGTAATTAGCTGTCCTACCTGGGAGGCCGACACCCCTTTCCAAGCAGAGGGGTTCGGGCTGAGGACAGAAGTCATACCTGTTGGTGCATGAACACCTTTTAGTTCCCAGCGACACAGCTACAGGGACGGGTGATACCCCTTAGTTACTACCCGCCTTCCGACCAGTGACTCCCTGGAACTGTGAAGGGCCGTCCTCTGACAGAGGGGGCACCCCCAGGCGGCTGTGACCTCCAGGGGGTATTTTATTTGCCGACGGGAGAAGGTGCTGGCTGAGCAGCGCCTGTGGATACCCACGTTCATCCCCGCTTTGCTGTGGCTCCTGTAGGCGGAGGTCCCCCCGAGCCAGGCTGAGGGGCGGCTGGGAGCCGGCGTCCCGCGCGGTCAGGGGATGTGAACCGCGCTGCTGCGGATCAGCTCTGCCCGGGGATAACCTAGTTTCCCGGCCCCGTTGTTTTTGTTTGTGCCCGGCTCTCGGGGTGGCGCAGGCAGATGGGGGAGATGACATGGGCTGCTCCTCGTCAGCTGGGCGAGGTTGGTGTCCGCGCGTCTGTCCTTCCGCGTGTCTGTCCTGGCGGCTGCGCAGGGTTGGTGGTGGTGGTGGGGGAGCGGTTTCCTCCCGGTGTGCTCCGTGAGCCGGGCGTGAGCCGGGCGTCTGATGAGCCCACGGAGGGCGCTTGGTTACTGTTGCTAGGTTTCGGGACCGAGCGCCCGGATAATTATGCTTTGGAGATGGGCGATGGTGCGTGGAGGGGGTGGTGCGTTCACACAGATTTCTCAATGCAATGCCGGCGGGGGGGGGGGGGGGGATGCGTGTGTGTGCCTGTGTGTGTGTGTGTGTGTGTGTGTGTGTGTGAGTGTGTGTGAGCGTGTTTGTGGGTGAGGAGGAAAGCCCACGCTGTGCTGAGGGCGATGTGTGTTTAAAGCCCGCTTGGCAGACAGACACGGCTGCGGGGAAGTGAAACGGCCGATCTGGGAGCAGCGCCCGTGTCCCCGGCATGGCGACCGTGAACGCGCTACTGACCGGGGAGGCGGACGCTGGCTCCCTTTGTTCGCGGGGACAGCCCGCAGGTCCCGGGAGGGCCCCAGCCCTGAGCTGTGTGCTCTCATCAGATCGGGCCGATCCGGTCGGCACCGCCCAGGCCCCTCTGTGTGCGCGGGGAGCGAGCCTGCCCCGGGCAGCTGGGCTGGGGTTCGGGCTGGAGTGAGGCGGGCACCGCGTCCCTCTTGTCCAGGTTCCCAGAGGCTGTTTTCAAAGCTAGAGCCCTGGCCGGTGTGGCTCAGTGGACAGACCATCCACCTGCATTCGGTCCCAGGTTCAATTCTGGTCAAGGGCACGTACCTTGACCTGGTCGGGGCGTGTGCAGGAGGCAAGCAATCATGTGCTTCTCTCACATCGATGTTTCTCTCTGTCTCTCCCTCTCCCTCCACTCTCTAAAAACCCATGGAAAATATCCTCGGGTGAGGATTAAAAAACACACAGAAAGGCAAGTGGCAGAGGAGGGAGACGCGTGAGGCCCTGCAGATCCAGGGTGAGGGTGCGTCCCCCAGCGGAGCACGGGGCTCCCTTCCCGCCCACTCCGTGCTGGTGGATTTGTTGGCGGCGGCCATTCCGACAGGCGTGGGTGACCCCTCGTTGTGGTTTCACTTGGCGTGAGACGCTCCCGGTGATGGGCCTGGACCGGCCATGGACATGAGCCACCGTGGCTGGGTTCTGAGCATCCGTGGGGCTCACGGGAGTGTCCTCCGGGGCCAGAGTTGTGTCCTGCGTGGGTCTCAGCCATGTCTGCTCCCCGGTTCCCTGCACCCCTCCCTGTTTCTGGGGCATCCCTGTCCCTGTCCCAGCCCCCCCACCCCAGCCTGGACGCTTCCCACTTCTCACTGCGGGGGGGCCAGGCTCCTGCCTCTGCTCCCCCAGCGCCGGGGCCACTGACCAAGGGCCTCAGCGGGGTGTGGAAGGAGCATAAGCTTGTCCCCCTCGGCCGGCCGGGGGGCAGGAAGTCCAGGTCGGGGCGCCAGCAGGCCGGGTCTGGCGACGGCCCCTCCTGACTCACTTCTGCCCTCACGTGCGGAGACGGGGCCGGCCATTGCTGCTTCTTGCATTGGGGCCCACCCTCGTGACCTCCACGGGCCGCACCCCCAAATACTAACTCGGTGGGATTAGGGTTTTAATGGGAGAATTTAGGGGACACCCTCGGTCTGTTGCGAGGACAGAAACCTTCCCCGAAGCCGCTGCTTCTCCTGGAGAACCCCGGTCACTGGGGGACCCCGCCCAGGGCACCTGTTGGGCCTCAGTTTCCCCTTCCGACAGCGAGGGGCCGGGGCGGACATCGGCCTGAGCTCCCATGGGCCTGCCCCGAGCTCGCTGGCACAGACGGAAGCAAGACAACCGGGAGCTGGCTTCTGTGTCCACTTCTTCTGCCTTTTGCTCCTGCTGCCGGACACTCCTGTCTTCCCCTCCCCCCTCCCCTCCTCACAACCCCCTTCCAATGTCAAACCCTGCAGATAGCGAGTCCCAGCGGGGTTGCCATAGCAACAGCTGGTCCTCACGTCCCAGGCCTGGCCCCTTGGAAGCAGCTCTTCACTCCACAGTCACAGGAACTCGAGGGCGGAGTGGATGCGGGGCGGGATCTCGTGGGGGGGAGGGGGGCGGTTAGGGGGGAGGGGGGGCGGCTGGGAGCACAGGGTCAGAACAGGGCACCAGGCCTCCTCCCGGTGGTGTCTCTGTCATTTGGGGCGGAGCCTGCGGACGGGGAGGTACCCAGCAGGAGGGGGGTGTGTCTGGGGCTGGAAGTCCCTGGTCCAGGTGCGTGAGGATCTGGCCCAGCCCCGCCCCGTCCACCCCCCCCCCCCCCCCCCGGCGTGCAGACACCGTCTCCAGGTCACATGGCAGTCTGCATCGTGTGTGTGTGTGTGTGTGTGTGTGTGTGTGTGTGTCCAAATCGCCTCTTTTTTAAAAATATTTTTTTATTGATTTTACTTTATTATCTTTTTAATCCTCACCCGAGGATACTTTCCCATTGATTTTTAGAGAGAGTGG